GTTGACATATATATTAAACTCTATACAACTAAGTCAGAGCGTCCTACAGGTAAACTCAGAAACAGCTGAAAATACCTAAGAGACTCTTAAAATGGGGTGTACTTATATTTGATATTTGGTACAGAAGCTGGAAGGTTTATGTTGGCCATTTAATTGCAGAATAACTTTGCCTGTATACCTAACGTATGAATCTCAAGACTGATTGTTGATTAGTGGGAGTTTTAAGTATGTTGAAAAGCTGTAATGGACAGTTAAGAAAATTACCGGGCTGATGCAAACTATGAGCTTGCCAAATATGGATTTCCGTGTAGATTGTCTTTATCATATGAACCTCCTGGGAAAAATTACAGTTAAAGTGTGAATGGAGGAACTTACGATGGTTGTTATATGTCAAGTCGCTGCTGTTTACATTCTTTAGTTGAGCCTACACTTTCATAAACCTTTTGGCAAGTATATAGTGAACATTTCTGTTTTATGGTCTAAATAGACTATAAGGCAATTGGCACTAACAGCTGTTAACTTCGGACTTTTTTCATGATTATATCTACTGCCTCATCTTGATTTATAAGCAAAACCTAGGAAATCTACAAAATAAGTGCTTTGTGGTTTATCTAGAAAGAATAGAGAAATTATTATTGCTATTTTTATGAAGAAAATAAATTTTGTAGTTTATTCCAACATGAATAAAATGTGAATTTTGTTTAAAAAACAATAAAAAGTGGTGTTGTTGTTATGTGCCATTGAGTTACCTGCGACTCATAGTGACCCTGTGTGTACCCTGCTCTATCCTGTGCCAATCTTACTGTCTCTGACATACCTACCTCCACAACCCCAGTCACTGAATCAATCTATCTCACTGAGAGTCTTCCTTTCTTGTCCCTCCACCCTTCCAAGCACAATGTCCCTCTCCAAGAACTGGTCTCTCCTTGCAACATGTTCAAAGTATGTCAGATGAAGCTTCAGAATCCTTGCCTCAAAGGAGCAGCCTGGTCTCACCCTCTCTAGGATGAGCCTGTTCATTATCTTAGCAGTCCATGCTATATTTAATACTCTTCTACAACACCATAGCTCAAAATCATCAATTCTCTTTCATCCCTAGTCATTGTCCAGCTATCTGATGCACTGCTATGGCCTGGATCAGGCACACCTTAGTCTTCAGACTGACATCATTGCTCTTCAGTACTTTGGCAAGGTCTCTGATTGCAAAGTTTCCCAATGCAATTAGTCTTTTAATTACCTGGCTGCTGGTGCCAAAAGTGTTGATTGTGGAGCCAAGCAAACTAAAGCTGTTAACAATCTCAGTCTCTTCATCATCTATCATGATGCTGCCAATCGTCCCAGTGGTGAGAATCTTTGTTTTTTTGATGTTGAGCTTCAATCCATATTGAAGGCTGCAGTCTTTGACCTTCTGCAGCAAACACTTCAGGTCCTCCTCAGTTTCAGCAGGCAAGGCTGTGCCATCTGCAAAAGCAGATTGTTGATAAGTCTTTCTCCAATCCTGATGCCATATTTCTCCTCATAGAGCCCAGCCTCCCAGATAATCTGTTCTGCATATAGATTGCAAAGGTATGGAGATAGGACACATCCATGGCTACAACCTTCCCAATTTTGAACCATGCATCCTTGCTCTTTTCTGCCAACTGCCTCCTGGTCCAAGGATAGGTTTTGCATTAGTATAATCAGGTGTTCTGGGATTCCCATTCTTCTCAGAGTCACAGTCAAATTATTTGCATAGTCAATGAAACACAGATAGACATCCCTCTGGCACTCTTTGCTTTTAACCAAGATCCATATAACATTAGCTATAGTATCCCTACTACCATGACCTCTTCTAAACGCAGTGTGCACTTCTGGAAGTTCTCTGTTGATGTGCTGTTCCAATCATTTTTGGAAAATTTTTATCAGAAACTTGCTTGCATGTGATATTAATGACATTGTTCTATGATTTCCACACTAAAAATTATAAGAAAACAAGATTAAGAACACAATTCATGTTTTTATAGCATGTTGAAAATTTTTTTATAATCACTTGAACTATTTATTAGTAATAGTTTTCAAAATCTCATTATTTTGTGAAGTTTCCAAGACCACGGGCTTTGATGTATTATTTGCAGGTCAGATTTCTAGCAGAAGACATTAGACTTGGTCCATAACAACCTACATGCTAGTTTCAAAATCAGTCCTCTTCTTGTTCATCAAATCTTGGATTTCTTGTTCAATATCTGTAGCTTCTGGTGAATGATGATGATAATACTGAATGAAGAACCATGGACAAATTATTGTAAATCAAATACAAGGTACAGTAGTTAACAAACAATATTTTGTCTTTATTCAGTTCTAAAGATAAAGGTAAATATTTGTGTCTTGCTTCTGCCCCCTTTAATGAATTACTATAAAAAGAAATGAGTTTCACAGTTCAGTTTTCTAGTACCAAGGAGCATAAGTTTATAAGTCTGTCTTGAGTAGATAAAGAATATATATCCACTGAATTTAATTTTGGGGGAAATAGAAGGATATATTTGTCTTCTTACAACTCTATGTATTTATTAGAGCTGAACCAAACAGCCTCTTTCCAGACCAGCGAGGTAGATTAAATTTTCACTCTCAAAACAGAGTCAAGGACTGGTGAGATGCATAATCCCAGCATCAAGTTTGAGGCCACATTTAAAATAAAATGATGATCTTAATAATATATTTTACTTTAAATGTTAGTGATTGGGGGAACCTGAAGTGACTGACTTCAGAGGAAACATGGGATGCAACAAAGTAGAAGTAGAATAATATTTTCAGTCATCAAAGGCCACCTTCAAATTTAGTCTTGCAATACATTCCTTCTTTGTGCTATGGGCTCACACATCTTATTTAATTCACTTAAGGCCTGAAAACCTGAACTCTAGGGGCAATTTTTAGGATTTACAGCCTGAACATTGCACTTAGAAAACAAAAGAAAAAAGAAGGGGGGGAAAAGGGAAAGAAGAGGAAAAGAAAAAGGAATTACTTTCATGTAGTAAAGGAGCACCTTCTTCCCTGAAAAAGCTTTGCTTCATACCCACTTAGCTCTCACATTAACTTGGAGTGAGACCGTGAGATTTAATTTATTTAAAGACATGTGGGCTTACACCAACAACAATCTTCACGTTATCCAGTCTCAAGGAACCAGAAATCTAAGCTTACCCATAAAAATATTTCACTAGGTTCTGGGTGGGGGGAGCCTTGGGAGGGGAGAAATGTGCAACAATGAATGAATGGAAATCCAAAACCTCTGTAAATTTTTACTGAAATTAATAACAAATTTAAATTTTAAAAAAATTAAGTTAGAGTAAGGATGGCAATGGATTTATAACTGCTCATGCTATAATACTATATCATGGCATGGAGGAGGAATAGTGGAAATGTGTCCACATTTACAATATTCTTCTTACCGAAACCATTTATGGAAAATAGGCACTGCATCGGAACACGTATCTCTGGGTTGGAAATGATCATATTGTTAATATTTCTAGCCTTAAGCTTAAAATATTATAATGTTCAAAATTATTTGTTATATAATTGCTTAAATTTTTCCCTCTTTTAACAACTGGGATCTAGAGGGAAGAGAAAAGACCAGAGAATGGCCAAAATTATTGAGGCAGCTATTGCTGCCAGTTTAGGGCCTGTGTCAGGAAAAGGAAGTCTTACTCATATACAGTGCCACCCAAAGGTAATAAAGGAGGTCAGAATTGCTTCCACTGTGGAAAGCTGGGCCACTTCAGTAGACAGTGTCACAGATGAAAGCCACAGATAGGCAAGGGAGTAGAGAGGAAGCTCCCACTCACTTGCTTTAAGTGTGGATCTGAACGACACTTGGCCCAGGGCGGCTCACATCAGGTCCTCGTGGCTGACAGGACTGACAGGCCCCAGCTCCCAGCTGGAAACAAAGAAGGACGCTTCAATGATTTAGATCCTCCCAGAAGAGCTGTGGGTGAGCATTAACATTACTGATAAGTATATTCATTTTCTCCTGGACACAAGAGCCTACTATTTGGTCTTAAAAGCCTTCTGAGGTCCTAACTCTTCTCACTATTTCTTAGTTGTTGGAATTGATGGAAAATCTCATAAGCAGTTCCTTACTTCACCTCTGTCTTGCATGCAGACTTCCGAGTTGTAAAACAACCCAGTGGTAGATGGAATTTGCTCCAGGACTTAAGAACAATGGATGACATAGTTGAATCTCTACATCTTGTGATCCCTACCCTTTATACTATAATAGACAAAGTGCTAGTCAATAGGCCTTTTATTGTAAGAACTACCTTCCCTCTGTAACTTGATTGGTGCCACTATGAGAGCCTCTATGTGGAATATTACTGCATTTCAATTTTTGACTCATGTGCTTTTAACTTGTTAGTAAATTTGTGTCGTCTAGGCTGCAACACTTTCATGTTACATCTTCAAGGATATGAACATGCACAGCTAACCACAATTGATAACAGTGCATCTAAATTCCAACATCAATCTCCATAATAGTCTATGTGTTTCCTATTGCCAAAGGGGCCCTTTAGAGTAGTGAGAGAAGATCTTCACCTTGAAACCTACAGCATCCCTTTTCAGCAGGAAGTAGCTAAGAGAATACGCCGTCCCGTTTTCCCTATGAATCAGGGTGAAGTCTCTCTCAAGGAGGGGTGATTGCGAATGGCAAAGGACACACTGACAAAGGAGATTAATCAGAACTGGCTTTGACAAGCACTGTGGTAATTGGACAATTAAAACAGACTTTCAAGGGGGGGGGAAGAAGAACGAACTGGGGAGGAGGGTAGAGAAAATAGTGCAACGATGAATGGACGAAACCCCAAATCTCTGTAAATGTTCATTAAAATTAATAAAATTTAATTAAAAAATATTTCACTAGGGTAGAATAGCTTGGTTTACTTACCTTACAGTGCAAAACTTGGCTCACAGACCCTTTACAGAAGAGGCAATCCCTACTATCTTTTCCCAAGGAAAAGATCTCCAGAAGGCACAAATTAATTTCTGAAGAATGGGAAAAGCTTCCTGAGGGCTGCTTTGACCTCCTTGTTTCTCAAAGTGTAGATGAGAGGATTGAGGGTAGGGCTTAGCATCGTGTAAAGCACACCAGCCAATTTGCTCTTCTCTGCACTGTAACTGGAGACTGGACTTATGTAGGCATAAAAGACAGCAGAATAGTACATGCACACAACAATGAGATGGGAAGAGCAGGTAGAGAAGGCTTTCTTTTTCCCTTCCTTGGTCCTCATCTTTAGGATGCTAGAGATAATGAAACTGTATGACACAATGGTCATTAGGAAATTCAATATGCCATAAAAGGCATCAGCCAGAACTATCATGATACTGTTCACATAAGTGGAACTACAGGAAAGACGTAACAGAGGAGGAACCTCACAGAAAAAATGGGTAATTACATTGGGACCACAGAAATTCAATCGAAGCATCAGCCCAGTATGGATAGCTGTATTGAAGGCACAGAGTGTCCACACACCTGCAGCCAACATGCTGCAGAATGCCTTGCTCATTATGGTGCTATAATGCAGAGGGTGACAGATGGCTGCATACCGGTCATATGCCATGACTGTGAGGAGGAGGAGCTCAGAGGATGCAGACCATGTAAGGAAATAGAGCTGGGTCATGCAACCACCATAGGAGATGACGTTCTCTTCAGATATAAGACCTTTCAACGCTTTGGGCATAATGGTGGAGGTGCAGATAATGTCCATTGTAGCCAAGTTGAACAAGAAAAAATACATAGGTGTATGAAGTCCAGGATTAAACGAGATGGCCAAAATGATGAGGAAATTACCTATGAGAGCTACAGAGTAGAGGGAAAGGAAACAGCTGAATAAGAGAATCCAGTATTCTGGGTACTCTGAGAAGCCCTGCAGGATAAACTCTGTTATCAATGTCTGGTTATTCATGGTCCTCGAGCTGAGAGATGTTTTGAGAAGTGCCAGGAGAATCTCCACCCACAGCTTCAAGTGATTTCAAGACTTGAGAGAGAAAAGAAAGCTCTCTTAGGGAGACTGCTACCGTATTTCATTCAGATTCAACTTAATACATGAACAATTCTAAATAGCCCAACACTTAATAATCAAGATAAGTATCTCAATATAAGAAAGCATTAACACATAGGTCTTAAAAAGCAAATGGTCAACTAAACTCATCAAACTTCATCAAACTTCAGTCAATAAATGTAAATTAAATCAACAATTCAATTATCATCATCTTCTATTTGTATAGTTAAACCAACATGAGAATGACTAAGAATAACATAGAGGCAAAGATGCAGGTCTTTTAAAAGATGTATTTAATTTAAGCCATAACTTTCCCTTCTAGCTATATATTTTAAACAGTAATTAAGAATGTTTTCAAGTTAGCAATACAAAGAATGAAAATTTAAAAGTGGTCTGTACTTTGAGGAGTCAGTATTTTAAAATATATTGAAAAGTATTGATTTAATAAATCTTGCTAGAAATATTTAACCAATTCTTACAAAGTAGAATGGAAAATATTATAAATAGTATGCACAATAAGATTCCGTCTTGGGTTTTTAAAAATATGTAGAGGAAAACATCTGGTTAATGACAGACTGAAGTTTGAATAATAGGGATGGATTATGATTGATATATGTTTACTTCCTAGGTTAATATGTATTTTGTGACTATTCTATACATTGAACTTTCAAATGGCCTACCTACAATATTATTCTCCTAATAATTCTTCTGTGACCCCACACTGCTAACAAAACATAGGCTTCTCAGCTGTTCCTCCTAGGTCAGTCTCTTCTCCAATCTCTCTTTTCATTCAAATTCCCTCAAAAACAGTTCCAATCTCACTCAACACTCAGTCTCACCAATGGTTCTTGTTATGTCAGAATTTCATTGCTTTGTTCTTGAAGTTCCCTCAGCAAGAGATACCCTCTTCCCTCCAAAAAAGGTCAATACGCAGCTCTCTTCTTTCTTGGCATTCTTTCTCTATAGAGAAAAAACTTGTTTCTCACTAGATTCTACATTGACTTCTATCCTACATAACAGGTTACTGACACTGCTCTTTTGGGTTGATGTATATTTCTCATTTAGTTCTGGAGTTTCTTGGCACCTAGGGGTATGACTTGCATGGTACTCAATTATATTTTTTAAAATAATGCTAAACAACAACAAAACACTAATAAAAGTAGAATACTTTCTAGTCTTTAGAACACCCTTCTATACAAAATTGTTTCCTATCCATGTTCTCCTTTCTTGAAAAAAAAAGTTTAAAATGTGCATTAAAGAAATGCATTCACTACTGAAGCATTAAAAGGTTTGTACAAAATGGTAAAATCTTACCTATAATTCAGGTCATACAACCATCTTATAAGTTGCAGACAAGAGTTGAATTTTTATTAAAATGAAATTTTCATGGCTCAGAAAAATAATTTGTGTGGATTCTGTTCAAAACAGATGGAAATTACTGAATTCTACCCATTCCTTCCTGGCAGCAAGTTATCAGGTTAGTTACAGCATGTCAATGGGTATGATAAATATTATTTGGTTTATTTAATTTTTATTTGCAGAACATATAAAACATCTAAGGACACAATGTTTACAGTTTGAAAATAATCTGCAGAAATAATTGTGCAACTTCATTTCCTCCTCACCATGTTCCAATGAGTGACTTATATTTAACGTCAAATAGTCCTACGAGGCTGAAAAGCTGAGGCAGACATCTTATTGTAAAGTTTTTGCCTTTCTTTCTAATATCTTCAATAGGATTATTACCCAAACTCATACAAAAATCATCCACTGTTTACTTTTATTGTTATTAGATGCTGTCTAATAAGCATCTACTAATAGTGACCCAAGGAACAACAGAAGGAAACATTAGGTGGTTTTCTATACTCGTATATTGTGGTATGTATTACAAGCACTATTAGTCATACTACTGTGAACAAATATGTTCAACACCAATCACTATATCAATCAGATCTACCATTCATCCTACCAGAGAACCAAGAGACTATATTACAATGAAACCATAAGTGATACTTAACTCAATTCCAGAAAAATTACAGAAGTCTGCAATATAAATGGTGTTAAACAGGTGTTGAACAGAGGGATACTTCCAGAAACTGATTCATATAATAAAATTTTTTTTTCAAATAATTACCCACTCACTGTCATTTCCAGGGTCAGTGGACAGTCTTCTCACACAATTAGGGAACAGAGTGAACAAAGAATAAGCTGATAAGACTCTTTCAATGAGAATGACTATATAATCTCTGGTGGACCTCAGTCATTTCCTCTCCTAAAAATAACAGCAAATAATTTCCCCAGAGGCTCATAGTATGTTGGCTTTAATCTTCAGCAAACATAACTAAATTATTACTATAGATGCAATGAAACATAAAAATTTCAGGAAACAAATGAATACTACATCCAACAGCATCATGGCTCACATATATTTGCCAATGGATGATATAAATAAGCAATGATTATATTTCACAATTATCAGACCTGTAAGCACTCAAATTTCAAAATGAATGTAATTTACCTTTATAATTTACACTATTTTTAAGAAACAGTAGTAAATCTTTTCCTCAAAACCCCTGAAAGTAAAAATTCATTAATTGAATTTTCCCCAAGATTTCATTTTATGTGAAAACAGTTTACTTAGAAAAGTTTTATATTGTTGTTTGTGCTGTGGACAAAGAACAGACTCATGCCTGACACTCCAGTGGGTGTTTAGAGTCAGTAAATCTCAAGGGAGGTGATTGTCCATCCTTCTTCCACAAAGCAGCTGGTGGACTCAAACTGGATGTATTTTTATTATGAATTTTTATCTTAGCTCTAATTTATTACTCAAATTCACAAAAAGAATATTATTGTCTTTAATGGTACTAAAATTGGTATGGGTATCTTGACGATTATCATCATTTTTATTTTTAAAGATATTAAAGGGTGTTTATAGATTACACATAATTAAGTCAATGTTCTCATGTCAATTATGTAAATATATCCACTAAAAACTTTAAGATCAGAAACCTAAAAATATAAAAATCTTAAAAATTAGGATTTAAATATGAAAAATTTCTAGTCTATTCTCTTTATTTTAAAGTCACAAAGAAGTCTAAGTGATAAATTCCTTGTCATACACAGCATTATTAACAAAGAAGATACAAGACATTTGAGATTCCAGTACAGAATTGTTTTTTTTTTGTTTAACTTGGTAGTTGCTCCATTAAGTCCAATTTAGTCAGATTTAAAAAAAAAAAAACCACAAAGAATTTATAGGATCATTTATTGCAGTCGAAATACGAAATAGGAATTTTAAACTCTTCGCCTATTTCAACATACCATTTAGCTCTTACTACATTTACTAACACAACAGTAATAACGTTTAGTGAGAAATATGCTACTGATCCTAGATCAATTAAACAGTAACAAAAATCTGATATTTTATGCAGCAAATGATTTAAAATAAGAAATTTTAAAGGTATGACCATAAATGATCTTTTTAATATCATCCAATGAAAAGAATCATTCTTGGATTAGTTTGGAAAAGAATCATTCTGTTAACTTGCAAAAAAAGTGTTTCACCTTTCTCAAGCTAAAAGACTTTGTGAATTGAAATCTTTTCTCTGTAAACCACAGTTGAGGTTGTTAGCATGGTGACACTGACAAGATCAGTCTAGACAGGATGAAGGTTTTCTTCCCAAATTTAAGTTGATCTTGCCACAAACGTATGACTCATCTTCAACAAAGTTTGTCACTGACTGTGGGAAACACTTGAGAGAGATGTTCATAGCGATTACTCTAAGTGGACCCTAAAGGAGCAATTAAATAGTTTCTTTGCTGAGGACTTGGCTATTGTCAGTGATTTTAAAAAAAAAAGCCATTTTACACATTTAGAGTTAAATCCCAATTTGGAAGATAATGGTTGTGTGATCTTGGCCAAGTCTCTTAATCTCTCTAGCCTCAGTTAAAATGAAATCACCTATCCCATTATCAAACAACCATTTGTCTGTCAGTTTGCCTTACTGTAGTGGTTTGTGTGCTGCTAGAAGCTATGCATGCCATCAACATTTTAAATACTAATTGGGTCACCCATAGTAGACAGATTTCAGTGGAACTTCCAGACTGAGATAAACTAAGAAACAGGACTGGCCATCAACTTCTGAAATAACAGACCTCTAAAGACAATGGAAGAACATTATTGGATATAATGCTGGGAACTGAGACCTTTAGGATGGAAGACACTCTGTTGTTCATGAGGTTGTTATTCACAGTTGACCAACAGTACCTAATCACAAAAATATTAAAATATCTGATAAATGAAAAGAGTTTGGCAACATTTTATTTGCTTTTCCTCCAGTTTATCACTTTTAAACTTTTTTTTTATTTTACACTGGTTTACCTACAATGTGTGGTTTATATATATTGCCCCTCATACCCAATCCTCCTCATTTCTCCAACTCCCCCAACCCACCCATCCCACTCTTCTGCTCCCCTCTCCTTTGCTTAGATTCTCATACTTGTTTTATTAGGTATCTATTTCTACAATAATGATCTCATATAGTATTTGTCCTTATGGGACTGAATTACTTAGGATAATTCTCTCCAGTTCCTCCCAAGTTAGATGATGACTTACAAAAGAATTGCTGCTGTGTTCTACACAGTACTCCATTGTGTGAATGTACCACAACTTCTCAATCCACTCACTTGTGGTTGGACATTTGAGCTGTGTCCATGTTCTTGCGATGGTGAATAATGCTACTATAAATATTGATATACAAGTCTCTGTTTATGCCTCAGTTCTCATCTTCTAGGTGTATAATCCAAGCAGTGGATAGCTGGGTCACATGGAATTTCTATGTTCAGGGTTCTGAGAAAACGCCAAACTGCCTTTTGCAGTGGAATTGAAAACCTATAAATGGACC